AAAACAAAGAAAGTTAAAAAGTTTTGTCATCAATAACTTGTAACAATATTTGCTTTATATACAAGTGTCATATTTTGTATATATAAAATAATTTCAGTTTTTGGATTAGGAAGAACAATGTTGAATTTTTAAAAATTCTTAGAACTAAGTTTAAATACCTAACATGGAAGCTTAGTTAGTATGACAAATTTATATAATACGTATGTGTGTGTGTGTGTGTGTGCATTATTAGCGTAGCAGCGTGTAGTAATGTGTCACTAACACATAAATCGTATGTGTGTATATCTATTGAATCGGTAAAACGGACTTTAAGGTCCATTTAACGTGCAACATTACGCCCTAGTGATCACTTTGCGACTATTACATGACGCCGTGCATATATTCTCGGTAGAAGAATAAAAGGAATCGATCGTCGAAGCAGGAGACGCCCGTCACCGCTACGCCTGATATGCCGGAAAGATTAACAAAAGGTCAGGTCAGGGCCTCGTTAAAAACACTTGAGGAAAAGAAAGGGACGCAGCGTGTGCTTTCCCAAATTTAGACGCTCCTTTTACGAGCAGATACGTATAACTAATGCAGCAGCGTTTATTATTTATCCCTGTAATGTTCTAGATAAGTCAATTCATTCTCCCTTCTATTTCTCCCTTCTCGTCCCATGCAATTGACGAGGAAAGTCTGAATTTTTCTGTTTTGTGCGATGAGAAATCAAATCGACTGTCCTGCGCGAACAATCTTACTATCTAGTGGTCCTCTGACTTCGCACTCGGACAGGAAATTCCGCGACGAACGCGCGACGGTGAGGTCTGGTGAGGTTTGCCCGTGCACGTTCGAAATCGCGCGAGCGAATACCATTATGCTTGCAGTGAATGGCGCGTGAATGGGATTATTTCTCTGGAATCGAATCGATGACGCACTGCATGCCGCGCGAAAACCGGTCGGTGCGCTCGTTTTCTCCGTCGCGCTCGCAGATCTCGCGGGACCACGAGAAGCGTTCGAATTGAATTTGCGCGAGGAGGAGGAGGGCCCGAGATTTCGAGGACCCCTGAGACCCCGGAGACACGCTGAACGAACGCGCGAGATGCGACGAAACAAACTCTTGACAAGCTGACCGTCGCGTCGCGTCGCGTCGGGGAAATCAAGCAAAGTTAACCGATCGCTGTCTTTCGCGTCAAGCGATGTGACGGACATTGGATCCTGAACATATCGGGAAAGTGACGTTCATATGTTATATATATTAATCAACTCCTCTATCAAATCACTCGTCAAATAAATCGATCGCCGATTAATTAATTCATTTCGTGAATGCCCTGAATGTCTAATGGAAGGCTAAAGAGGAAGATCATACAAATGATCGCTCATGGAAAAAGATCACTTATTTACCAGAAAAATAAAGTATATTTTACTTAAGCCTGCCAGTTCCATAAACTTTAGAATTCTAATATATATTTACATTTTGCTTTTAATAATTTCTACAGTTCTCTCGCTCCGGCTCAATATATATTATTAATTTCAGTAAAACAGTAGAGTTAAACAACTTAAATCATGAAAATTGTATTAAATTCGGCTCAAATTTAGTTTATTATTTATTACATACATTAATATGGACGATGTTTACTTCGAAATTAACAGAAATGGATTAATTTACATTTTGATGCCCATCAAATAAAAATAATAAAATGTTATTTAAAACCTCTCAAAAGATCGGATTATCATTCCTTTGATATCTAACAGTATGAAGGTTTCTCACAACGTAAAAAGGGACGAATACGTTTCTCCAGCATCGTAGGAACGGCGAAGAAGATCTCGATTACTTGACAGAGAAAAAAATAAATAAATGGTCACCGAGAATGGTTACCGAGCTGCGCTAATTTCGACAAGAATGCGTACGCGCGATGCGATCTCGATCCCGAGGAGCGAAATGCAAAACGGGGACAAGGCTTGGGGAGTTTTTGTCAACAGTCCATTTAACCGTGCGTGTACAAAAGCGCGTGCACGCGTGCGGGGATGTAGGTATTTTTAGTCGTTGTCGGCGATATTTAAAGATAAACGAACCGCTTCGTACACGTACGGAGGGGCGAACCTTCAATATATACCGTATGTTTGTTGTGTACCGGGGATTATCGTCGAAACACGACGAGGGAACACGAGGAGGGAATGAGGAGGATACCTGGGTCGCGTCGGCCGGCACGAAAGTCTCGTCTTACGGATTGACGATCTCAGCCTGCAATCTGCATCACCGAGGTCATGCGTTTTAGCTTTGCCCCATTTTTTATCCCCGGTCTCATCTGAATACACGAGGATCGCGTGCAACGTTGTCGCTGACGTGAGTGATCGAGTATCGGACCGACGCGTTTGGAGCTGAATACGATTGAGCGGGAATACGATTGCGATAATTCTAATTGCGTGATGTCATCGTCGAGACGTATTACGTGCTCTCGTAATTCGTTTGGGATATTTTTGCGCGCCAGTGATCGTTAAATTGCGATCGGAGACTTCCCGTCGTTTGTTCTCGCGCCAGTGACGAGCTATTTCGGAAAACAGAGCCGGCTTCGAATTTACGATTTTCTCGTGGCCGCATTGTTCGTCGGAAGATCTCGGTGGGGGGAAGAGGTGAACGCACCTCATAGACTTACGTAGAATTTCAGTTAAGGGGGGAGGGCAAAAATTTACCTTCATACCAAACTTATTAAAATGTATATATCCATGTTAAAGCCAGTTTCAAAGACTTTAGCGAACTCTCTAATATTTCTTCTTTCAGCTTCTTTCTTTTCGCGAGCACCGTTTTTCTGTGTATACACTTGTTGTTAGTATTACGTAGTAAGTAGTTTATTGACGTGATTTTGATCGACATTATGATCGCAACCAGGTTTACACCCTTCGTAGTGTATTCTAAAAGATGCTTCAATGATGCTCGTTGTGCAAGTAAGGCTAAGGAAATATACATGTTTTACTGCTGGGAAGAAAGTTTCGACTTCTCTTAACACCTCTTAACACCTAACTGAGAAAAAAAATATAGTAATGTTAACAAAAAAAAAAGAGATCATTCACAAGTGCCAATTATCATTGAATTATTTTGTTAAAATAGCGAAATATAATATTGTTAGATGATATTGTAAATTTTTTTATTTAACAGTACAATTTTATTTGGGTACGTTTTGTAAGTAAACAATAGTAATGTTAACAAAAAAAAAAGAGACTATTCACAAGTGCCAATTATTATCATTGAATTATTTTGTTAAAATAGCGAAATATAATATTGTTAGATGATATTGTAAATTTTTTTATTTAACAGTACAATTTTATTTGGATACGTTTTGTAAGTAACAATGTAAAATTTGGTTGCCATTACAAAATAATAAGTATTCTTTTAGTAATTTCGACAAAATAATCTATTATGGCGAAGAGCATTTCGTGGAGCTGTCAGAGATAGCGTGTCTTCTTATAACAAAAATTCGACTACTTATATAAAGCAAGTTATGATTAGACTAATTTCGTCATTCGTGCACTTTTCGCCACACCGTGGCCAATCATGGTAATAATCATTTTTTCAGAGCGATTTTAGTAATCAATTGATTTAAATCTATATACCTTTGTTAAACTAGGGAAGTTCAAAAACATAATTTCACATTGTAGAAAGTGAAAGATATATATTATGTGATTGTTTTGTTCCGGTAACAAAATGTTTTATTTCTAAGTATAAAAAAATCTATGACTATCGTACAAAACAGTTTTGTATCATTAAATCGCTGTTTTAGAGGAGCTATTAAAGAATCTAAGTAGGGATTATCATTGACTTTTTCCTTAGTTCCTTGTACCAATTCGCAATGATGTATTTTGTAGCTTAAAACATCATAAAATTGGAGACATTATCTTTAGTAAAAAAAGGATACGTCCTTTGTTCTATCACACGTTTACTTTGCATTCCATTCGTATCGTGCTATTCGGAAGGCTCCTGTGATTGTCAAAAGTCGCAAAGAATAGCATCTCGTAAAAAGAAATTCCCTTCACTTTCTTCTTTCATTCTTTCGACTGTGCGGAGGCAATAAACGATAATTTCAGAAGATTACTTTAAGAACGAAAGCGGTCGTGCAGAGAACCTTTCACTAAGACCATCGATGGATGATCGAAGATGAACGAGGAGAAATTCTTGGAATCTAATTTGAGAATTCTAGGACTGGGAAGAGAAGGACGCGGCTATTATTCTTCTTCGCGAAAGAGATGGATCACGTTGTCGCAAAAATGATAAAGATCGCGTTGTGTCGCTTTGATTCTTTCAAGAGTCAAATGTTTATTGCGAGTCGATTATAATTGATTCATATCATAAATGGTCCTGGCTGAGATATTTTTCGCAAAAATTATTTACAGATTTTTAAGATGCTTATTAGCATTAAAATGGATGATCGATCTAACTTGGGATATTAATTTTTTACTTCATTTTGCAATTGTGTTTCAAATTCGAAACAAACCGTATCATTTATGCAATTTATGAAACTGCAATATATTTGCCAAAATTTACATCTAGTATTATTAAGCACTAAGAACCGAAAACAGGATTATTTCTATCAATTGATAAATGGATTATGTCATGTTTTTAGGGTGGATTTGCGAGGGTTTACCTAATGACCGATGTCAGTAATGGGAATCAGTACGCGTGTAAGATTATTCCGAAGAATCGAATGCAGAGGATCCATATGCAGAAGGTGCGTATATTTGTTCAGTGAAAAGCGCGCATTTATATTTATTTCGCTGAATAACACGTGTTTTTTTTTTTTTACGCTATTCGTAGATCGCGCGTGAGATCATGATTCACAAAGAGCTGAATCACGTAAACGTCGTCCAGATGCATCATTATTTCGAGGACAATCTCAACGTGTACATGCTCCTAGAAGCCTGCCCACGAAAGGTATCGTACGTTTTCCACTTGCCTTACCAGTTTATCGTTTCCTATCGCGCGTACGAGAGAAACATTTCGCAACTCTTTCCACATTTATGACCGAGAATACATCTATGCCGGGGAAAACTCGACGATCGACACTCGATCGTTGTCTCGTAAATTATTTAAACTGCCAACAGATATTGACAACTGGAGCATCGATAAAGAGTGCTGTTTCCCTTACTTTATCCTTCGTCCTGTACTTGGGCGTCTTTAAAATCCTTGTTTGCTGTTTCTCCTCTCGTAAAATTGTTTTCCAGGTTCTAGTCTATTTCTATTGCGCCATGAAATATCTGCCCGACTTAAATCGACG